CTACGGGGAATGTGTACACTGGAGTCATTGGACTGCGTGTGCGTCTTCAGAAGCGATAAAAAAAAGAAAGTGTATTTTTGCAATCAAAAAGTTCAGGCTGTGAATGTGTCTTCAAATTAGGGGCAGTGATGACCAGTCATGCTTCAACCTTAATGTAATTACTCACATCCCCTTCACCCTCCATCCCATAATCACACATTCTCCCTGTGACACACTCCTCCACATTCAGCCTTATTAACAACCATAATGGCCTCTAGATGGGACATAAAAAGCTTTCTATTACCGTCAGTTACTGGTGGAAATAGTGATTCAGGTCTGGACCACACAAGAGACACATATGAAACTAGCAGACTAACAGGAGCGACTGACGTTATGTTAGATCATTAGCTTGGTTCGTCAATTATACGGAAATAAAGGTTTTTTTGGTAGGTCTAAGGTGTGAAATTTTATGGTATTTTAGTGCAAAAAGGAGCATCTAATGCACTAGCGACCCATAGTCCAGTTTAGTCGAGTGCTGTTTTTAGTGCAAACATCCTGCTTTTTATGTTTTATCTATATATATAAATGTGTGTGTGTGGGTGTAAATTATGATGTTGTAAATGTATTATTCATGGTTATATATATATATATATATATATATATATATATATATATATATATTTATATATATGATTTACATTTTATATAAATAATGTATATAGAATGTATATAATATATAATGTGTATGTACACACAAAATGCAAATCATATAAAAACAATAATTATGCACATACAGTACATATATAATGCACATAGACGAGATATATTTTCATTTTGCTTGTGTGTGTATAGAGAGAGAGGGAGAAAGATGTGTGTATAGATATTATATATAATGTATGTTATATTTTATATAATATATGTTTACTTATTTATTTACTTACTCTGACAACAATAAATTCCTAAACTATATATAGTTGTATAATACATATTAATAAATAATATAAATATTTTCCTTCAGCTTTTCCAGCTTTTTGTTTTTAACCATACAGAACCTAAGTTTGTTTCTATCAGTAAACTTTACTTGTATAATGTGTATTAAGCCAAAAACTAAATTGGTTTTGTCATCCATAAGCAAGGTTTTGTCATCAGTCTCTCCTTCTGTGTGTGTGAGATTTTTATTTAATTTTTTTCCCCGACAAGGAGAGCCAGACTGGGCCGTGTTCGTTAGGATGATGCTGCTGCCGTCTCAGTCGGTCGTTAGCGGTTAATTGAGTGGTAGGAGCCAAGACACGAGCAGGCCATCTGTTTGCCAGAGTGGAACATCTTGTGGCACTCGGCTCGGCGCTGGGCCACCGTGCCTCAGCCCTGAATGGTGCAATATTAATAGATCTGACCAAGACGAGAAGAGATGTAATGTGACAAAGAAGAAAGTTGTAGGGAAAAAGTGGAAAGATATGGGCAGTAGCTCAGGCCACAATGTTTTTATTTTTTATTTTTTGCTGGCCAAGTTGGGCAAGTAGTTCAGATTTGCACTTGCCCTGACAATATTTCCACTGACTCCAAAAAATTATACTCTTTTATATAGCATATTTAAATGTTTATAACTCATTAATTTTAGCACGTCACAAAGGAATATTAAAATATTAATATAATAAATATTAATAACTAAAAAATTTACAACAATATATTAGGTTTTTAAGCAAAAATATCTGGGAATTATACATTTATGTCCCTCCATAACTATAAATTTATAAAGAGTTGTATTTGTTTAGAATTAACTTCTATAATTTTGGTGCATCTCAAGTTATTGTTAAGCCCTGCGGATATTAGAGAGTGAAAAAAAACAAGATGCAAGTTCCCAAAATTAACTTAATTTTTTAGTAGTTTTCATAAAATGTTAGCTTGCATTATTTTTATTGTGCATTGTTCATATGACATTGTCCATATGACCTTGCAGGCCATTGTTTTCACTTGCATCATTGTTTATGAGGTTTTGGGTTTTCCCCTCATTTTCATTTTAGATGCTTAATATTACACTGTATAAAAAATAAATAAATACATAAAAGATTTTTTTGAACTTGTAATTAGTACAAAGAATATTGGAGTATAGAACCATTTCAGGAAATAGCAAATAGTACGTTTTCTGATATATATTTTAAGACAAATAATATATATTTTTAGAAAAATATTTAGAGAGAGTACTATTTCGGTATTTCTACTTCAAAATTTCCCATTTAATCCAGTCTGTTACTTGCCGATTATTCAATTATTCGTTAAATTTAGTAGCAAGTGAAAATTGTTTCTACACCGAATATTTTTCAGCATAGAAATACTCCACATACGCCACATGAAGTTATGGAGGAGAAAAAACTTTTGACATCCTAGATAAACTTCTGATGGTAAATTTTCCACAGAGGTAGACTTGTTAGAAAATATCTAAAAGGTTACAGCCAGCTGGTGAATAACTCCTTTTATTCACTCACCCTAGCCAATTTTTACTTAAAGGATTAGTTCACCTCCAGAATAAAAAATTCCTGATAATTTACTCACCCTCATGTCATCCAAGATGTTCATGTCTTTCTGTCTTCCGTCGCAAAGAAACTTTCTTTGCACGTTCGCTTTGTAAACACTGGGTCCGTACTTCCGCCAGCATCACCCGTGACCTTTCCAACGTGACTATATAATGCGTGAAGTCGAGCTAGTGCAAGATGAGCATTTGTGGTTAAAAAGTATTTAAATTATTATAAAACATTTTTTTTAAGAAAATGACCAATCGTTTCGCTAGATAAGACCCGTATTCCTCGGCTGGGATCATGTAGAGCCCTTTGAATCTGCATTGAAACTGCAATTTGGACCTTCAAGCCATTGGCCACCACTGAAATCCATTATATGGAGAAAAATCCTGGAATGTTTTCCTCAAAAACCTTCATTTCTTTGCGACTGAAGAAAGAAAGACATGAACATCTTGGACGACATGGGGGTGAATAAATGATCAGGAAATGTTTATTCTGGAAGTGAACTAATCCTTTAAAGTTGAGCGCTTATTTTGAACCCTTTATGTGAGTGTGAGAAACTTGCTTTGAGATTGCAAGGTTGGATGCTCTTTGTGTAACGTATCATACGCACATTCATATAGTATCAGTAAATATTGAAGAGCTTGAAAGGCGTCTGACTGTAATGTAAGCACTTAACTGACATTTAGAGTAATGTAAATAGCAATAGAACAAGTTTGCGTAGATCAGACAGACCTTTTGATGAAAGAAGGGCCGTGGATGAAATGAAAGAGAGACATCAGCTTTGTTCAAATCAGCGTTGGACTTTAATGAAGCTTTCTGTCTTTGCTCCTGCATGAAGGTTGTGGGGTCTCGGTATCTCGGCTGCTGCTCAGTGCTGTGAGCGATGGTCCCTTGTGACTATCGGTCTCCTGCGAACGTCTGAAACACATCACAGTTCTCCTGATTCGCGGCCCTCCGCACCGTCGTGGGCGAGCGGCCCCCTCAAAGTGTTAATTTGCTAACGTTCCTTCAGAGAAGGCGTCTTAATTAAGTTTGTAAGATTCATGCCTAATTTAGTTATTATCTGAAGGATGAATGAGCTAATGATTGCAACAGGAGCCTCGCAGCGATCTCCACTCGCCCGCATTATGTGTGACTTTTCTGCCTATGAATTAATTGTTTGCACTTAACCTTGCACTCGTTTGTTTAAATGTTGGAAATAGACGGGGTGTTTTTAACAATATTTTTTGGAAGAGCTCGTCTCGCACGCTGCGGTTTTGTTTTTTTGTGTGTCTTGGCGTGAAATGAGAGGCGTGCTGAAATTAGACACTTCATGTTCAATTAGCGTAGCAGTGTTGTTAAGGAGAAACTACAGTAGGTACGCTAGGCAAATGTTGTGTCTCTACTTCATAGAGGTCCTGCAGAGGCAGCGGCGTTTTAAAAACTTTTTCTTCACTGTTTGCTGTGGTACTTGTTGCTTTTGGCCTTCAGATACAGAACGTGTATGTTTCATGCCTTTATTAAGCGACATGTATTCAAGGTCCAAAATAAACACCAAAATAAGCACCAAATGCAAGTTAAAAATAGACTCTCCTGAGGGTTTTTTTTATTGCAAGAATGATAGTCTGATGCTGATGTAAGTGACGTGAGAAAATCAAATCAAAGACATACTGTATAAACGTTTATTAAAGGTTGTAACTGACATGTTTTTACCGGAGTAAATGATATACAGTTGGATATGTACAAGCCTCAGAGAGAATGAACATGTATGAGCTAGTATTTTTGGAAAAAAATAAAATAAAATTAACTAAAAGGTAACTGTACTTAATTGCTTATTTACTAAGTATTTTTAATATACTTATTTATAATTAGTTACTTATTTACAATTAGTTATAACAACTTAAAATGTTGAGATAGCTTAAACAACTTAACTAAAGTTATCTAACTTGTCATTTTAAGTCAAGTACGAGCACTTAATTTTAAATTGAAAACTAATTATTACTTATTCTAATGTTGAATTTTAAGTTGTGATAACTAACTCATTATATATTCTGTATATACACTATAATAGTATACAGTACAATAGAATAGTGATCGAGGTATTTTATGTTTTTAAATTAAGTCTCTTATGCTCACCAAGGCTCTGTTTACTTAACAATACAATAAAAACAGTAATATTCTAACATATTATTACACCCTAAAATAGCTGTTATATATATATTACTCCAGTCTTCAGTGTCACATGATCCTTCAGAAATCATGCTAATATTCTTATTTGCTGCTCAAGAAGCATTTATTATTATCAGTGTTGAAAAGAGTTTTTGCTACTTAATGTTTCTGTAGAAATAGTTTAGTACATTTTTTCAGGATTATTTTTAAAGTAAAAAAAAACAGCATTTATTATCTTTTGTTGCATTATAGATGTCTTTACTGTCATTTTTATCAATATTGTATTATAGTATAGTATAGCATAGAATAGAATAAATAGTCCATAGAATATATTCTGATCCTGTTGTTGTGTTTCAGGGTTGGTTCAGCCCAGGCCAGGTGTTTGTTCTGGACGAGTACTGCGCTCGATATGGGGTGAGGGGCTGTCATCGTCACCTCTGCTACCTGAAAGACCTGATGGATTTTTCAGATAACAGCGCCCTGGTGGACCCGACCCTCCTACACTACAGCTATGCCTTCTGTGCCTCACATGTCCACGGAAACAGGTTCACGAACGCCAAGTTATTTTGTGCAACTTTTCATTGACATTCAATTTACATTCATGCATTTGGCACATGCTTTTATCCAAAGTGCCTTCCACTGCATGCAAGGTACACCTTTTTTTTTTATATTATTTTTTTTTTTATCAGACCTTGCTTTTCCTGGGAATTGAACTCATGACCTTGGCAATGCTAGTGCCGTGCTCTGCTGTTTAAGCTACAGAAAGGAAGTCTAGACAGAATAAAATTAATCAAAAATAAATAAATCGGTTTTATAATTTAAATATGTTGCGTTTTTACAGACATTTTTACCTGTAAGTGGCAGTGATATATTATTCGTATTATATATATACATACACACACATATATATATATATATATATATATATATATATATATATATATATATATATA